CAACCCCCCCCCCCCCCCCACACACACATACACACAGAGAGAGAGAGAGAGATAGATGTGTTCCTCGGCCCTCTCTCTGCTGTGGCTTGTGTGTGTGTGTGTGGCCTGGCGCCAGGAGGCCCTCACCTGCACACCCTCCGGCAGCTCGAGCGTCGCCAGCAGATCGCCCGCAGCAAACACCGCTCCCTCACTCTGCACACACACACACACACAGAGAGAGAGAGAGAGAGAGATTGCAGCCAACACACACACTGCGCCAACCTCCCCCCACCCAGAGCAGCGGAGCGCACCAGTGCGTGTGTGATCTTGCCCTGCTGGCCGTCGAGCTTGAGCTGCATGTACATCTTCATGATCTCGATCTCGCAGTAGAACTGGCCCTGCCCCACGTGACTGTTGTTGGGCACCAGCCAGCGTACCAGCTTGCCGCCCACGGGGGCCCGGACCTGGGTGGGGTCGACCTCGTGGGTGAAGGTGACGGTGGAGCCTTCGAAGGTGACGCGGATGCCGGTGGCGTCCTCCTTGCAGTAGACCATCCTGCTCTTGCCGTCGAAGCCTGCACACACACATGTGTGTGTGAAGGGTGTGTGGGTGTGTGGGTGTGTGTGTGTTTGTGGGTACCTCCGCTGACAACGACTTTGAAGCCCTTGTCGCTGCTGCCGCCCCCTGCCTGTGTGTCGGGGGTCTCCACCACAGCCACGTGGCGAAAGGTCGCCTCGACGTGGCGGTCGTTGAGACGCAGTGTGATCTGTCAACCACACACACACACACACACACATGGAGAGAGAGAGAGAGTGTGTGTGTGTGGTGGGTGTGATGATTTGGCTGGTTACTTGGTTGGGGCCGGAGTAGGTGCAGAGGAGGGTGAACTTCTGCTGGTGGTGGACGAGGTTGCACTGGTACTCAGTCGACAGGCCCGGCGGCAGCTGCCCTTGACCCACCTGCACACACACACCGACACACTTTAGCAGTTCCCTCTCCCCCTCTGTTGTGTCTGTGTGGCCAGGCCCACAGACCTTCTTGGTAAACTCCTCCTCCGACTCTCTGAAGTACCGTGAGGCCTCATAGAGCGCCCCCAGCATCACAGCCGTCAGCAGGGTGTGGCTGGCACTGCTGTTGGGCTCCACAGCCTGGCCATGGCCACATACAGCCCAGCCACCACACGCAGAGAGAGAGACATCAGGGGTGCTGGGGCTGGTGCGAGGCAGGGGAGAGGGACGGAAATGACTGACTGACCTTGGTGAGGGCCAGTGGCGGCTGTGCGGCGGAGTTTTGGAGGTGCTCGCGGAAGGAGGGCGACTCGAGCCAGGTTGTCCAGGTGGTATTCTCACTGACCACACACACCACCCACACACACACCACACAATGGTTCTCTCTCTCTGTCTGTCTGTGGAGGTGGAGGGGGGTTGCTTGCCGACATGTAGTGGGGGTGCTCGAGGATGCGGATCAGCGACTCTATGTTCGTGCGGATCTCACCACGGACCTGTACACAGCCACACCCACACACACACACGCTCTGCCTCTCTCTCTCCGCTGTCTGTGACCACCATTTCCCCAACCAACTAACTCACAGTGAGGTTTTTGAGCGACATGATGAGATAGTTCCGCGCCTCCTCGCGTGTGGGGCCGGTCGCAAAGACGTGACCAAACTGATAGACAATTGGTGACGACACAACCAACCAGCCAAGGATGGATGCGCCACAGTCTGTGTGTGTGTGTGTGTGTGTAGGGCCGTGACGTGCCTGTGAGTCGGCATAAGCATGTATGCGCCCCGAGGTGCCGATGGAGAAGTAGGCCCACACGTGGGGGGACGAGCGGAAGGAGATCTCGTGAACCGCACCTGTCGTGGGGCGGAAACCCTACACACACACACACAGAGAGAGAGAGAGAGCGTGTGTCTGTCGTGTGTGTGTTGGGGGGGGGGGGGGGGGGGGGG